CTCCTCAAAAAATCAAACATAGAATTACTATATGACCCAGCAATTCCACACCTAGGTAGACACCTCAAAGAATTGGAAAGCAAGGGCTTAAACAGACACTTTTACATCCACATTTATAGAAGTTTTATTCATAAGATTTACAAGGTGGAAACAACCCAAATGTTCAACAGATGAGTAGAAAGACAAAATACATACAGTCGAGTAGTATTCAGCCATAGAGAAAGAGGTGAAATTCTGACACATGCTACCTCTCCAAAGAACCTTGAAAACACTGTACCAAGGAAAATAATCCAGACACAAAGGGACAAATATGGTATGATTCCACTTCTAGAGTAGGTACCTGCATGCATGCTCAGTCGTTTCAGACTCCTTGTGACCCCAAGGACTGTAGCCTGCTAGGCTCATTTGTCCATAGAATTTTCCAGGCAAGGATAATGGAGTGGATTGCCATTTCCTCCTCCTCCAGGGGATCTTCCCGACCCAGGGATTGAACTTGAATCTCCTACAAGTCTCCTGAATTGCAGGCAGATTCTTTACCACTGAGCCACCAATGAAGCCTAGCGTAGGTACCTGGGTGTTAGGGTGTTAGTCGCTCAGTTGTGTCTCTTTGTGACCCCACGCACTGTAGCCTGCCAGGCTTCTCTGTCTATGGGATTTCCCAGGCAAGAATACTGGAGTGGGTTGTCATTTCCTTCTCCAGGGGATCTTCCTGACCTAGGGATCCAACCTGGGTCTCCAACACTGCAGGCAGATTCTTTACCATCTGAGCCACCAGGGAAGCCCTACTTAGAGTAGGTAAATTCACAGAGACAGAAAGTAGAATAAAGGTTCCCAGGGGCTGGGGAGACAGCGGGGCAGGGATTTATTGTATAATGGGTACAGAGTTTCAGTTTGGAATGCTGAAAAATTCCTGGAAATGAATAGTGGTGATGGTTGCCCACAAATGTACTTAATGTTTCTAAATTCACACTTAAAAATGTTAAAATGGTAAACTGTATGTTATGTGTATTTATCACAATTTTTTCTTTAAAAAAAGCCCTGGCACAGGGCGGATTTCTGCTCAGAGCCTGTGGGAGCCTGGGCAGACAGATCTGGAGAGGCTTCTAGGGGGAGTGGGATTTGGTGGGATCTTAAAGGGCGTGTGGATTTCATGAGGCAGTTTTGGAGAAAGAAGGGCACTCCAGTGCTGAGGTGAGGATGGGCAAGATGGATTCGCCAGCGTTGGGACATATGTGCCAGGCTGGACACAGTCCCATGAGGCTGGAGAAACGTGTTCATGGTGGGTATAATGAGGGTAAGGATGAGAAGGGAGGGCTGGCAGAGTCTGACTGCCAAGAAGTGTCCCTTTCCACCTGAGGTTGAACCTAAAGGGGGCCAGCTGCATCCTGTTCCACAGAGACCGATCCTCAACGCAAAGGGACACCAAGCATTTGTTTTCATTCAGTTGCTAAGTCATGTCTGACTCTTTGTGACCCCACAGACTACAGCACTACAGGCTTCCCTGTTCTTCACTATCTTCTGGGGTTTGCTCAAATTCATGTCTATTGAGTCAGTGATGCCATCCAACCATCTCATCCTCTGCCACCCCCTTCTCCCCCTGCCCTCAATCCTTCCCAACCTTAGGGTCTTTTCCAATAAGTCAGCCTTCCACATCAGGTGGCCAAAGTATTGGAGCTTCAGCTTCAGCCTGTGCAGAATAATTTCATGGGACAGCTCTTGCCTCCTATGCATCTTGTCAGCACTGCCACTTGATCTCACTGCCCTGAAACAAGCTCACCGTGCCCCCTCCCCCACTCCCCGTGGCCTCTGCCGTCGAGACCAGCTCAAGGTCCTGCCACAAAGATGCACTGGCTGTTGGCTCACAAGAACCATGCCCTTTACAGGTTTAGAATGATTCAGATGGGCTGATAAACGCTAATACACCCATGGACCAGGAAAGGAAGGCTTGCTCCTGTCTGCCACCATCCAGCCTCACAATGTCATGAGTGTGTGTGTGACCAGATACCGCCACATATACACGCACCAGGCTAGGACACCCCAGGGCAGGGTCGTCCTCTGCGCCCCTTGGCCAGATGGCATCTTGCAGGCACCTGGCTTTCAAGGGTATTGGGCTGAATTGAATTGAACAGGATCCCACTGTTTACTCATCCACACCCTGGGGTATGAGCACCACCTGGTCCCCCCTTTCTTCCAGAGTGCCAGACACAGAGCTGGTACTTGACATTTATTTGATGGATCTCAGATGCATAGCTGAGATTGGCGGATAGAAGGGAGTCAGTGCTTATGGATTTCCAGTCTTAATGAAGTTGAGTGGACTAGTGAAGTCGCTCAGTCGTATCCGACTCTTTGCGACCCTGTGGACTGTAGCCCACCAGGCTCCTCCGTCCATGGGGTTCTCCAGGCAAGAATACTGGAGCGAAATCTGGTACTGAAGGCGATGACAAGCCCCAGTAGACAGATCTGTCTCCATCTTCAAGCTCCTTCCTGGGAGAGAACGCCTTGGACTGTTCCAAGATTTTTAGGTGATGGCCAAAGTCTGCATGGCCTGGAAAAGCCAAGAAATGCCTTTGTCGGGTGGACAAATACTAAAAGAGATGTGCCACTGTTGTTGAGTCAAGGGCAGGGTGATGTGAGAGTTGCCATGGCCTCAGTGCTGGTAACTGAGTTATTTAAATTCTTCTCCCAGCTACTGTGAGATAAGCAACCTTTATGGGGTTGGTTGACTGCTCTTGCAACAGGCACACAAAGTTCTAACTCAAACCACCCACCTGCTCTTGAAGGGTTCATGCACGTCTTGCACCAATGCATCCTTCCTAACAGGTGCTGTCACCCAGGAGGCGTCATCTACCATCTACACTCGAGTGACTCCCAAACCACTGTCTCGACGCCGTGGTCATCCATCACCCTGCCCAGGGCCCACCATCACCGATGTTCCCTCTACAGTATCTCCAAATCCAAGGTCACTCCTCTCACATCGGCTCCCCACGTCTTCTGTCACTGCATGTCTGGAACCTCACCGCGGCTCTCCATTCACCACTGTGTTAGCTCAGGCAGTTGGAAATTCTCACCTGGACGGAGGCTCCCACACTCCCCTACCCGAAACAGGGATGAGACCCTCTGTCTACAAAGCTCACCTTCATCCAATGACTCTCCCACTAAAACTTCATCAGTGATTTTTCTGGGGAGGCTTCTGCTCCTGTTCTGACACCGGCAGAGATTCTGATCTCGAGTTCTCGAGCCCAGGAAGCCCTCTGGGTGACTCCTGAGGATGCCCAGCCTGAGGCATCCCTGGCCTCGTGGCTTGTACCTCTGGCACTGGGACCTGCCCCTCCTTACTCCTACAAACACATCAGAGGTGGTGATCCAGATTACACCTTCTCCCAGAGCCTCCCTTCTCTGACGTCCAGTCTATCCCCCAGCCACGTGCAGATCCCTCTGTCGGAGCACTGAAGACTAGCTACCAACCGTGACCTCAGCTCCTTCCTGTAAAGGCTTGTGTCTTTTTTCTCTGGGCCCCCAGCAAAGGACCAAGGCAGGTGTTCAGCTGCTGTTTTTGTAAAGACACCGCCTCTCTGAGCTTTCAGCTTTTTAAAGCATTTTTTTTAACTTGAGTATCACACACAGAGAGAGATAGACAAACCCCAAGTGCGTGACTCCATCAATTTTCATGTGTGAAAACTTGTGTCAATGGCTCAAGGATCGACTTCCCAGCCCCTAGTGAGCCCCATCCCCTCTCCCACATCTGACTTCGAGAACCAGTGTGTGTTCTCACCCCTGACCTTCCTAAGGATGCAACATACAGCACGCACTCTTTGTATCTGCTTTCTCTCTTCCCTGGAGAAGGAAATGGCAACCCACTCCAGTATCCTTGCCTGGAGAATCCCATGGACAGAGAAGCCTGGCGGGCTGCAGTCCATGGGGTCGCAGAGTCGGGCATGACTGAGCCGTTTTCATTTCCTTATTCACTCTCTCTTCTTACTGTGTTGAGCTTTATTTTGTGTTCATTTTGTCTCAGTTCATCTGTGTTGTGAGGGCCATCCACGTTGGAGCGATGGGTTCATTCTAATTTCAACTTTCAGATTTTTGGTAGGTGGTGGGGAGAATGAATTCCTTGTCTCTGAGGGTCCTGGGGTCTGGGCCTCCTGCTCCCCACTCTGCAAGGCCCCCCCATCCCCAGCATGACCACAATAAGGATAAGTCTGCCCCTTCCTGGCCTCAACCCCTGCATCCATGGCGGGTGAGCTCTGGGTGACTTCTTGGGTCCCGTCTGGCCCCTGGCCATCTCTGCCCCCACCCCCCAGCTCCTCCCCCACCCCCATGGCGATGACTTCAGGCCAGGGGAATGGCGGGCTGAAGCCTGATTCGATTAAGGGGGAAAGAGGAGCCTTGTGAAGCCACAGGGCAGGCGTGCCACCACACTGACCCCTCGGAGGCTGCGGTAATGGGACATGTTGCCGGGCCAAGGCCGAGGCCCGCCCCAGCAAACCTGATTAACTGGGTGTCTCTGGCTGCAGCCTGCCTGCATCTTCCAGAGAGAGCAGTCTTTATTCCCCCCAGGCAGGTCCCTGGACAGACAGGTTTAAATTGAATCAGGCCCTGGTCCCTGGCACAGAATGGCCCATTCACTGGCCCCGCTGTCCCCCTAGCAAAACAGACCCCGGGGCCATATGGTGGGGTGGGGAAACTGGCAGGACGTGTGGCCGGTGGCCAGCCTCATGGCAGCCTGTGCAGGCCAGCTCAGAAGAAGGGCCGTGGGGCCAAGCCTGGGCTCAGGGACAGGTCGCCGGCCAACCGTCAGTGCGGGTTGGGTGAGCCTGGGTGTCGCAGGTGAAAGGAGAGGCCGGAGACCCGGGGTGCAGTCGGCACATTGCATCCCAGAAGTGGCTGTGGTCCCAGCCACGTCACCGAAGGGCCAGAGGGGCTGAGGAAGACTGCTCAGCCTCCCCAGTGCTTGGTCTCCCATGGGACCCAACAGCGATCCCGTCAGGACCACTATAAGGATGATACGAGATGAGGAACATGCCCAGAAGGGCTTCATGTTAGCCTGTGGCTTCTATGTGGTGGATGGCAGCCCTTGTTCTGTCTGTAGCAGGGATCTGCAGTCGCGGGCAGAAGCACCGGCCACGTGGTCCCTCCTTTTGGCCAGTGGTGAGTGTCAGCCTGACACCTTGCTATCTGTGTGGCTAGCCTGTGGTCTGTCAGATACCATATCCTCTGACATCTTTTGAGAGAGACCCAAGACAACACTTCCCTGGTGGCTCAGAGGGTAAAGCATCTGCCTGTAATGCAGGAGACCTGGGTTCAATCCCTGGGTCAGGAAGATCCCCTGGAGAAGGAAATGGCAACCCTCTCTGGTACTCTTGCCTGGAAAATCCCATGGATGGAGAAGCCTGGTAGGTTATAGTCCACGGGGTTGCAAAGAGTCGGACGCGACCAAGCAACTTCACTTTCACTTTTCACTTTCAAGACACCACTCCCAGACTTATGGATGGAGAAGCTACTCTTTGGACAGGTGAAGGATCCCCCCACATCAGAGGCAGAGGGGGATATCTGAAATGCACATCTCCCAGTCCCAAATACAGCAGCTTTATTCTAGTCTCTATTTCAGAGATAAGGAATCATGACCAGAAAGGGAAAGTGACTCCCCAGGGTCTGCCCTGAGCACCCACCTTAAGGCTTGACCCCCAACCTGGCGGCCTGGCCCCCACTGTGCTAGAACTGGCTACGACTGTGGTAGCAGGACCAGCACACGTGAGAGGTTAGTTTGGGGAGTCTTCTTGGTGAGGCATCAAAGGCCTGCAAAAAACACAAAAATAAATCCTTAAAAACAGGTTTGGCTGCCACAGCGAGTGTGCTAAACTCAGACCCAGAGGCTCCAGCTCCCAGGGAGGCCTCCCCTCTGCCCACCCTGCACTGGCTCTGGTTCCAGGTCTCTGTTGCACCCAGCACTTGCCAGTGGAGCTGAGTGAGGGTCCCACTGATGAGCGCCTCAGACTCAGAGCATCACCTTGGTGCACTTGGCTTAGGATTAGACCTGACTCCCTCCTCCTGTTTCCATGGAAACACCTCCAGACCCATTGATCAGCTCTCACTTGAGGCTTTCATTAGCCCGAACGTTGGAATAAGTTTTGATTCAAACATGACACTTTTTAACGCGGTGCAAAACTCGTTTTGTGCAAAATCCCATTATATGAAACAGACAAGCAGGTTGATGGCCAATTTAGTTAATAGAGCTTTGCAGCTGACATTGAATTAAATCTGCAGGAAGCAGGCGCCATGTTACCCGGGAAGAGTCACGTGTGTATTCACAGCGGGCTCTGGATGCAGAGATAACTTGCCTGTGCCACCCTAGCCCACCCCGCTCCAGCCACCCCCTCCCACTCCAGCTCTGACCCCTCTATGGGGCTCTGTGGCTCTGGGGGGAGACTTAGATCTCTAGCTGGGTCTCCCGCCTCCCTCCTGTCCTTGCACCCGCCCCGCCCTTCACTGCACCACGTGCTTCTGGCCCCCGTCCCCTGTGTTTGGAGGTGTGGCGTACCACCCCCCTGCCCCCCAGAATGTGTGTGTGTGTTAGTCGCTCAGTCGTGTCCGACTCTTTGCGACCCCGTGGACTGTAGCCCACCAGGCTCCTCTGTCCATGGAATTGTCCAGGCAAGAATACTGGTGTGGGTAGCCATTCCCTTCTCCAGGGAAACTTCCCCACCTAGGAATCAAAGCTGGGTCTCCCACATTGCCGGCAGATTTTTTTACTATCTGAGTCACCAGGGAAGCCCCCCAGAATATCTGTGTATATCTGTGCGTGTATATCTGTCTCTTCATTTTTAATTGTTTCAAGACACTGCTAACTGTTTCTAAGCCTCAATCTCCTACTTCGTAAAATGGAGTGATAACGCCTGCTGAGAAAATATATGTTAAAACCCCCACGCTCGGCAGAGCTAAAGGCTGAGCTACTTGTCACAGGAGGAACCATAGCCTCTCTTGTGCCTGTGTTTTCTCGCTGTAAGAGGTAGGTAGCACAGCCCTTCCCTCTGGGGATTGCTGGAAGGATCGAGTTCATACAAGTAGGATCCTTAGGAATAGTGACTCCAAGCTGTGAATATGTAATAGTGACCATTTGCTCTTATGAATGGAGGTCCCATCCCTTGTCCCCCACTCTTGTTAATGAAAAGACCTGTCATACTGGTGGTCAGAGACACAGAGATCCCCCTGGCCTGAAACAACTCCAGTGGCTCCTAGGAGGATCTCACAGATCCTCAAGACACCAGGGCCCTCCTTCCCAGGTGGGTGATCTCTTGGGCCAGTTGGAGGGTAGGGGATGGGGTGAGACCTGTGTTTATCACGAGTGCGTTGTGTTGGTCCTGGGCCCTGGGAGCAGGTTCTTCAGGAGGCTGCCGCCCTCTGCCCTCTGCCCTCTGCCCTCTGCCCTCTGCCCTGGCTGAGGATGGACCACGACTGCCTGTGCACCGCCATCCCCCTCCCCTGCTCAGGCTCTTAGGCGCCTCGGCCCAGGACACTTGTCTGCACCTTAGGACCCTCGTCTGAACCTTAGGCACCTGGAAGTTCATCTGGATCCTTCCTCCAATCTGCAGGGAACCTCAGATAAGCCACTCCCCCTTGTAGCCTCAGATTCTCTTAACCTTTCCAGTGCATCGGAATCACCCCCGTCACTGGTGGTGATTCCTGGGCTCTGGCAGGGGGGTCTGTGATGCAGGAGTGTGCAACCTACGCTGGGGGAAACACAGCCCCTGGATGATGAACCCAGGCCCTGAGAGGGCGCTAAGGGCTGGAAGGGCCCCCCCAGACTGTTTTCAGGCTCTGAGAGTGTGGAGGGCTGACAGCTCTCAGCAGACACATCCACGGCCAGGGTCCCATCCTCTTCCCAGCACAGCTGTCACCCACTGACTGGTCAAGGAAGACTGGGAGCCGAGGGCCCAGTCTCTGGCCCCCGACCCCAGCTCTTCGGGACCAGCTCGGCTCTGGGACTCTGTCCTCACCGTGTCCCAGCTCGACTCTCCTGCCACCCAGTCCTGCTTCCCTCATTCTGCAGCAAAGCTCCTGCATGTTATTCTCTTGACTCAGAGTCGGCACCAGGAGAGTGTCCTGCACTGGTGCCTTCCAGACCTCGCACAACAGTCAATGGCACTTAGTAGGGGGTCTTTCGAGTAGAGGGCATGTGCTGTGTGCCACGGATGCAGAAATTCAGGAAAGATACTCACAGTCCTGTCGGGGTGCAAACAGACCAATCGGTGAGTGCAGGATGGTGAACCCAAGGCTCAGAGCGCATGCACGCTCAGTAGTGTTCGATTCTTTGTGGCCCCGTAGACTGTAGCCCACCAGGCTCCTCTGTCCGTGGGATTCTCCAGGCAAGAATACTGGAGTGGGTTGCCATTTCCAACTCCAGGGTATCTTCTTGACTCAGGGATCAAACCTGGGTTTCTTGTGTCTCGTGGCAGATACTTTTATTTTATCACAGTTTATTCTTTCAAATACAGACTTTCATATCAAAATTACTCTTGGGATAAAGTAGTACTATTTCCCCTGAAAAGATATAGTCATTCAAGGAAGAAGCCTAGAAAGTTCTTGACAAGGAAAAGACATCCCCTGCTCTGCCCTTCAGCTTTCTCAGTGATAACAGGAGCCCTTCACCTGATCATGGGAACATTCTCCAGCAGTTTTACTCTGGCCTAAACATAGCCTTTCAGATCCCTGTTCTATGCAACAGCTCTCGACTACGGATCCCATGTAAGTAGGGGGCTACAATTAACAGGCAGAGATCCCAGGTTTACCAGAAGTCTCATCCCAACTAATTCCACTGAATTCTTTTTGTCAGTAATTCACTGCCTCTCCCAGGAGAAGGGAAACAGCATTTCTTAAGGCAGATTCTTAACCACCTCTTCATCACCTCGCTCAGAGAGATTTGGACAAATGCCATGGAGCACACAGGATGGAGGCCCTAATCCTGCTGGGAGGCAGGTGACCCGTGGCATCTTAGTGTCCCGGAGCTGAGGCAGTGCCAGCCTGGCTTTGAAGGGTGGTCAGGATGCAGGAAGAGGGGCACCGGAGCAGGAGAGCTGCTCACACAGATTTGTGCCTTTGCTTGGAGATGTTCTCTCTTCTGAGAAACCTGAGGCACAGGAAGGATGAGGGGAGAGATGGTGGCGTGCAGAGATGAGCGTGCCCAACGAGAAAGCATTTGCTGTTGTTTTTCACCCAAGCTAAGCAAGTGGGACAGAAGATGGTACGGTGGAAGCCTGCCAGCCCCGGCGGGAGAAGCGCACCAGATCCAACCACAACGAGCTCCCCCAGCACAGCCCTGACGATAATTGTCTCCCAGTTGTCCTGCTGGAAAGCACCCTGGAGCTGGAGGCGTTGGCGGCAAAACAGCACGTCTAGGAGCCTCGGGGGCCATCTCACAGTGGGGGAAGGTGCAGACCTCACCAGGAGAGCCAGGCCCCTATCCCCTGCACCGCTGCTGGGCCCACAATCAGGGCATCCCTGTCCAGCTGCCCAGCTGCTGGTGTCATGGGTCCCCTGGAGTGTCCTGTCTCCCCGAGAGGACGGAACGATTTTCAAGACTGAGGACACTGTCGTATGCAGCCAGCACTAACCCATGTATTGCAGAGGTTGTGTGTGTGTGCATGCTAAGCCACTTCAGTCGTGTCCGACTCTTTGAGACCCTATGGACCTTAGCCCACCAGTCTCCTCTTTCCAACCAATTCTCCAGGCAAGAATATTGGAGTGGTTGCCATGCTCTCCTCCAGGGGATCTTCCTGACCCAGGGATCGAACCCACATCTCATGTCTCCTGCATCGGCAGGTGGGTTTTTTATCACTAGTGCTGCCTGTTGTTGTTCAGCCATTCGGTCATGTCCGACTCTGTGACCCCATGGACCGCAGCACACCAGACTTTCCTGTCCTTCACTATCTCCTAGAGTTTGTTCACACTCATGTCCACTGAGTTGGTGACGCCTTCCAACCATCCCATCTTCTGTCGCCCTCTCCTCCCACTCTCAATCTTTTCTAGGATCAGGGTCGTTTCCAGTGTCTGCTCCTTGCATCGGATGGCCAAAGTATTGGAGTTTCAGCTTTAGCATCAGTCCTTCCGATGAATATTCAGGACCGATTTCCTTTAGGACGGACTGGTTGGATCTCCTTGATGTCTAAGGGACTCTCAAGAGTCTTCTCCAGCACCACAGTGCAAAAGTATCAGTTCTTTGGTGCTCAACCTTCTTTATAGTCCAACTCTCACACCCATATATGACTACTGGAAAAACCACAGTTTTGACTGTGTGGACCTTTGTCGGCAAAGTGATGTCTCTGCTTTTTAATACTCTGTCTAGATCGGTCACAGCTTTTTTCCAGGGAGGAAACATCTTTTAGTTTCATGGCTGCAGCCACTGTCCACAGTGATTTTGGAGCCCAAGAAAATGAAGTCTGTCACTGTTTTCATTTTTCCCCATCTAGCTCCCATGAAGTGATGGCACCAGATGCCATGATCTTAATTTTATGAATGTTGAGTTTTGAACCAGCTTTTTCACTCTCCTCTTTCACTTTCATTAAGAGGCTCTTTAGTTCCTCTTCATTTTCTGTGATTAGATTGGTATCATCTGCCAATCTGAGGTTGTAGTTTTATGTTTTTATATTTAATTCTTTAGTCCACCTGAAATTGTGTAATATAAAATAAGAAGCTAAAGGTTTTTTTTTTTTTTTTTTTTGACAGCTTTCAGACTATCCTTGAATAACCTCCTGAATGATCCTACCCAGTTTTGAGGCTGATGGCAGCATATACTCAGATTGGATGGAATGGGCTAGAATCTGCTTCATGGTCCACAGGTTTCTATTGACGCTAGGTTCTTACCTTGTAGTATGATGTTTTGAAAAAGCATACAACTAGTTTTTCCCCACCTTTCTCTCTCTTTGGTGTGGGTGGGTTTTTCTTTTTCCCTAACTGTTCACATTCGCTTATCTTCCCGGTAGCATCTGGCATGAAAGGGTCTTCCCTTTGAGTCCCCCATCTTCCAAGGTCGAGTCAGTTCCTCCCCCACTATATTTTTGACACCTCTAGAGCCAGCCAGAAAGAGAAGATGAAGCACTGAAGCTGTGAGCGCTCAACCCCTGCTCATTTCAGAAATGGAGAAACCTGAGTTTCTGAAGTGTATGAACTACACAACCAGGGCACTGCTTGGAGGAAAGGGAAGGAGAACCTGACCAACCAGCCCCCATCCCAAGCTTTCAGGACTGAGGGCACCCGCGCCATTTGCAGGCTGGCGGCATTTCTCAAGTCTGACTGGTGACAAGACTCACTCAGGTCTTGTCTCCAATCCTGGGTCCAGCTCAGACCCAAGGAACCAGTTCACCCAGGGAGAGGCTCAGGAATCTGTGCATTTGGGTGATAGATTCATCACATCAGATGAGGCTGGAAAACAAACAAACAAACACAGAGCTAGGAGAAGAAGGCAGAGCAAAGATTACAAACCAGGAAGCTATCCTGGACTACCCAGACAGCTAAATTGGCACCAAGAACCCAGGGGAGAAGAAACCCTGGGAGGAACTCCCTAAATGGCCTGTATTCCAGCTAGGCCAGAGTTCTTGAAGAGAGGATGAAATGGAAGGAATGAGAGCCATCCTGGCATGTAGGATTTGTCAGGCCTGGACAGAGCAAAAGGAACATGTCAAGGATTGTTGGGCAGCAGTTGGTTTGACTTGATAGATGTGGAGAGGAAAGGTGAGACATTTTGAGAAGCAGAAAGGCTGGGAAGCAAGGAAATGCTTGGGGTTTGGGGGAAAATGTAAGTGGTTCAGTGACTTAGCAGCAGCAGCAGTAGTGTGTTTTCAGAAGCTAGGCTAAGAAGCTCTGGCTTAACTCTGAGTTCAACAGGGAACCACAAGTGGGTTTAAATAACCCAATGAGGTGATCAGATTTGCATGTTAAAGAGATTGCTCTGGCTGCCATGGAAATATTGGATTTGGGGGTGGGGGTGGGTATGAAGATTAAAAATAGGAAAACTGTTTAGGAGGTTGTGATAGAATTTCAGGCATAAACTAAGAAAGTGGGAATGGGTGAGTGGGGGGGAGGGTATGGAGGAGAAGAGCAGATTTGGGTGGCTTGGGCTGTAAATAAGAACTTCTCTTATCAATTGCTCCATCTGAATGATTCCCAGCTGTAAATGTTTCCTTGGATGTTACTCCAGGATGGAGTGGCTTTTCCTATATTGCATCATTTTTTTTTTTTTCTTACTAGTCTTGAGACCCACTGAAGGTTTCATTTGCTGTCCTCTAAAAATGGGAGTAAACCAACATTTATTGAACCCTGTCTAGGAATCCACGTTTTCTTAACCCTCAATGCAATTCTATAAAGTATATAAATTTGTTCCCATTTTACAGACAAGAAAACTGAGCCTGAAAGGAGAAAAAGTCATTTATATATATAGCAATACAATAGATTTTTTTGTGTACTGATCTTATATCCTGCAACCTTGTAAAACTCACTTATTAATTCTAATGACTTTTTTGTAGATGTCATTGGCTTTTCTGTGTAGGTGATCCTGTCATCCGCAAATAAAGTTTTGCTTACTTTTTAATTGGATGGCTTTCTTCCCCCTTTCTCATTGCACCAGCTGTAAACTAATGTGCAAGGCTACAGTGTAAAGTGGTGGGAGGGGGCATCCTTGTCACATGTCTGATTTTAGGAGGAAAGCATTGAGTCTTTTACCATTAAGTAAAATGTAGATGTTGTGTAGATGTCTTTTATAGGTTAAGGGAGTTCTCTTCTATTCCTAGTTTACCAAGAGCACAGTTGGAAAACCCAGCCTTTCAGACTTTAAAGCCTGAGCATTCAGCCCTTTTAGCAGCAAGAATCAGTACATTTTCTCCATTTCTTGCCAGTTCATTTTACAAAAAGCCATTCCCCCACCCTCTGAAAATATTTCTTTAACTAGGCAATGGGGAGGAACAGATTTCTCAAAGGCTGTTTCATCAGAAACTTGATGAACGTTCTGTGTTGCTCTAATATACAGGTTCTTATTTCTCATCAGCTAGACTCTTCATTAATTTCATGTAAGTGGTGTAATTAGAGTAACTGTTAATTGGTGTATTACTAAGGTGCCATTATGGTATGTGACAAGCCTTAATTAGCATGTGGTCTGGCACTCAATGTTCTCAACGAATCACTCAAACAGAGATCTTTCTCTTAAGAGCGGCACTTGATGTGAACAGAAAGGTAGTGCAGTTTTGAGGCAGTGGAGGAAAAAAGGGAAGAAAATAATAACCTCCGATTTTTTTGCTCATGGAAGTGGACCCCTTACTGCCCCAGTTAACAGCAATTCCACAGTCACAATGTCAGGGCTGCAGAAAATGCGCTGGGCTCCACTTAACCACAGAAGGATGTACAAAGAAACCACCTCGAATTGTCTCGATAAACAAAGACATTTCTTTAACCCATGGGACTGAACTTTAAAATAGGTGACCTCTAAAACACAGGGCCCTCACTACTTCCTTAACCTAGAATGTCCTGGAAATTTTCTACTTATTTTGGGATCCAGAAGTCAACTCACTCATTCTTTCTTACAACAATGCAGCTGTCAATCCATCTGACAAATATTTTCTGAGCACACAGTATGTGCCAAAGACTCTAAGGGGATCAGAAGAGGGATGTGATGTGGTTGGTCCTGCCCTAGGGAAGCTCCTTCTCCTGTTCACACAGCACCTGGGCATCCTTCCACCAAGGCATTCATCACAGGACGCAGTAACTGGCTTTCTACCACCAGTATCCCTTAGGGAGACTGCAGTTCCTTGAGGGAGATTTTATTCTACTTTGTACCCCTGGTCCTTAAATATCTAGTACAACACTTGAAATGTTAATTAACAGGCTATTAATATGAATAATTTCATGGCATTAAAATAGATTTTGGGTTGTTGTGGAAAAAAAATATTGCTTTAGAATTAAAACACTTGCCAGCTAGGTCAATCTGGACCAATTATTAAGTCCTTTTGAGTCTCAGTTTTGCTTGTCTTCAAAGTGGGAATAGAAAAGGAATTCCCTAGCGGTCCAGTGGTTAGGACTTGACACTTTCACTGCTGGGGCCTGCGTTTGATCCCTAGTTGGGAAACTAAGATCCTGCAAGCTAAGAGCCTCAGCCAAAATAAACAAAACAAAAAAATCCAAAATGGGAATAAAAATAATCCTAACAATTTTGAGATTGATGTGGAGATCAAATGCTATACTTTATATGATGACACATGTTGAACTTACAAGTGCCATTCAAATCAATTATTGTAATTGTATTAGTTATTAATTTATAATTTTTACCAATATCACTTAAGATAGCAGCCCAATCACTCTAAGAATGCTAATTACCTTTTCTGAAAAATTGCCAAAGTTTATTTTCACAATTC